AATAATACTTATAAAAGCAGATACTTCGTTTGAAACTGTCACCTCAGTGAAATTGGTTGACCCCATTGTTTCGGTTTTTGAGTTATCATGTAATAAAAAAAGAAGCAGAAGAAAGAACAAGAAATTCAAATTTTTTCTATGATATTTACAGACATTCCCATAACTTGTGATTCAGCCATTACAAGGATATTGTTATAAAATGAAACACTGTATAGTATTGTAAAGTTCTGTTGACCTGTTGAGGAGATATTTAAAATAGCATTTCAATGAACAATCTGAGCCATCCACACATATGCAGTGATACTGTCTGCCTGATAAACCTCCAACAGCTACATAACAGAATTTTCACCAAAGATCACGTCTCATAAAACCATTAACACTGAAAATCATGAAATAAATTACTTCAACCACAGTGAAGTGGCTTTATTAACAAACACTCCCTATATATCAGTAAGCCTAATCATAATATTAATCAAAATATTTCAATTGCATCAAAGCACACACTGATAATCAAATCAAATTATTTTCAAAAGCATCTTTAATAGTTAGGGCCAGAGATAATATCAAAAATGTAATCTAACGAAAATTCTAACAGCAATGATATTAATAGAGTTATAATCAAATAACATCATTTAATCTAATAAAACAAGTCAGAATTATGGTTCACAAGCCAGTAAATGAAATCAGAATTTAAAGAAAAAATATAACAATTTCAGTTTTCTTACTACACTAAGAACAAGAAAAGGTGACATAGGGGTACTCACCCTTAGAGGTTGTACACTAGCTAAATGCTTTGTGTCAAGAAGCTTTGAAAAAACACAATTTGTCAAGTTTTTGAAGTCATCGTAGCTCTTAATAGGAAAGAGACAAAATATACACATCAATGTAAACTTTAGAGATACCTCATACCAATGAAAAAATAATAAATAAATGTAGAGTAAATTATACTTAGAAACTGTAAGCTCAAAAAATGCAAATAAATAATAAATTTTAACAATTAGTTAAACAAAGCACTTTCAAAAAGTAGACCTTTTTTAACCCCCAATTCACTGTAAAACCAGTCTATCTTCTTATGTTATTGTACTACGCTCACATTTACTGAATGTAAAACAAGTAACAACAGTTTCCATTTCCAAACAAGGATGGTAACTATGTAGAAGTTATACCCACTCTACCATCTATATGAGAGCATTTGTTAAATTAAAATGAATCACAATAACTTAACTGAACTCACAGTAAGACAACCAACAGTTTTTAAGTTAACCTATGGTGTTGGTTGTATATATCTTGTTCTCTGTTCAGCTGAAATGTTGGTAAATGACTTGAGTTATAGCTAGATGCTTTAAACAGAACCAACAGCAACATTTGACTAAGAAAACACATTCTACAGCTTTTTTTTATTGAAAGTGTAGCTGAAAAACAGCTGGAACATTTCCCAAACATATAATAATACATTGTCCAAATAACATTGATCAAATTTCAAGAACAAGTATTAATAAAATCAGATATATTCTCAGATTAGTTTAAAAAATCTAACAAATTAATGAATTTTCTTCAGCATCTAATGGCTGGTAACACGAGTTAACCCGTTTTGCAATGGGAGCCCCTTTAAATGTTTTTCTGCACAAGTCACTGTGCTACATTTAAAATGTAATTCAACACCTTTAATATCAATGTATGTGAATTAATTTAATATTATAATGTGTGTTATGATTCAAAGTTTTATCTTATCCAAGTTTTAATTCCTTTATTACAAAATAAACCTTTAAAAAACTACTTAAAACTTCAGATGTAGTATCACGTGACAAATGAGCTTTGAAAATTCTCTACTTTTGACACCCTGTATCTTCAATAATACAATGGCAGTACTGTACAAGGTAAGTATAGATAATGAAATGCTTAGATAACCTTTTGACTCTTTCATTTCAAAGTTCTCTGAATGAATACATTTGGAATAAGTAATAAATTTTTTCAACCCCTGACAGCTGCCATGCCCATCTTTGAGCTTTATAGCCTTCATGTAGACGTTACATACACATGTGTATAACCATTAGAAAGAGCTCATTTCATAGTATAATCTAACAATGGTTATTTTGAAATTGGCACCAAGTTGTCATCATGGAAAACATGAATATGGTTGGCTGTTTGATTTACTATAGCACTTATGGTTGTTTCTTATTTAAATATGTTATAGTTAGAGATACAGTTTAAATTGTATTTAGGTCTCACTATTATATTTTAGTTAATTATATATTAGTTATGTTTTAAAATGCATAAATAAAAGGTTTAAATACATATATTGTTGTACAAGTGAAATTCGTAACTCAATTTCCCCAAGTTGCACGAGCTCACCACAAAAGGTTTAAGAGATGCACATTTAATCTTAATAATAATGTAAAAACATTTAAAAATAGAATTAGATAGTTTTACTGATGATCTTTTTCTTAAACAAATTCATAATTTTATTTTATAATATTTGTGACAAATCAAAATCTGGATCTTCCATCAAAAGAGACTTATAGGATAACTTTCTGTGGGGATATTCAACAATATATTCACTCCTTAAAACCAACACAAACATAAATTTCTGTGGGGATATTCAACAATATATTCACTCCTTAAAACCAACACAAACATAAAATCTCACCTCAGGTAAATGGCAACAGAACTGGTTAAGGATATGAAGAAGATCTAAAATCATGTTATGCCCAATAACAAGTTTTCCAGATTCTGTTATCAGTTTAATAACCTTACTAAAACCAACAGCTTCTTGCAATTCCTCCTGAAAAACAAACAAACCCACATAATATGCAATTAAAAAATCAGATAGTTTAATATATATTTTTAATTAAATTTAGTTAACATCACAGAAACATCATTTACTCAAACATCCTACATGAAACCAGACTAGCAAACAGATATAGTAGGAACAAATTATTAACCCCCTGAGGTCCAGGTCTTTGATTCAATACCCTCCCTTCTTTGTTAGACAAACAAACTAACGATTGAAACTGCATGAAACAAACTTTTCTACAGAATATTAGTTTATATGTAAAAGAAATCATCCAATTATATTAAGCATTCTTTATAAAATTTTATCTTCTGAATTTTATGAATGTTCATTGTAAAACACCACTTTTATAAAAAATACTTCCTTTTGTTTTAGGCTTCTCTTTCTTTTTTTACTAGCCTAAAATCTGAGAAAAATGGGCAACAATTATGTTTCTCAATAAAACTCCATTTCTTTGACTGATATCATTTCAATAGCACCATATAAGACCTATGGCAATTTACATAAGATCCTGGACTGTATAATATAGAAGACTGTTACAAAATGTGACAGTAATATGGTAAAACTTCAAATTATTTAATTTTGATCAAAATTCATATATCCAATCAATTTTAACTTGTTTTATATTTATTAACATATTTATTTTGTGATTTTTGATGCTTTGTTTTTGTGGGCTGAAGAAAGTGCATAGCCCAATAAAAATCACACAAATACCACACAACCAATAATGGCATATGAACAGACTGCATTCTGAGATTCTAAGTCTATGTACTCATTAACTCTAAATATCCTTACCCAAATTCTTGTTGAACAGAAATATTTCTGTAGCTTTCAGAAGGAAATAAGACAAATCCAGTATCAAATTTCCAAGTCTCTAATTACCTGGGAACTTTTTCTAAAAACAGTGTTCACCTTTCAAGTATAACTTCACTGAACCACTACTTCATAACTTACAGTTGAAGAAAAATTGTGTTGTAAAATGAATGCAAAGTTTTTTAAGTTTGAGCCTAAGAAAACCTGATAAACATGCTCATTTGTCAAGACTCACTTATGAGGTACAAAACATGCAAGTTCATCCAATAAAATTCTAGCTCAGTTTATACCTCACCTAGAAGCTTGATAAATATGTCATCTTCTTTACAACTGAACACAGTTTATTCACAGACACAAACATAAGACATGATGAAAATAAGAAAAAAATAATAATAATACATAATAAGCTGTTCAACCCTCTATACAGGTACTACAAAAATTAAAAATATTTTTCAACTTTCAGTTTTAACCTCATTTTCTTTATTACTTTTAGGCTGAAAATTATTTAAATAGAAGAATCATTACAACCTTACAGTAGTGACTGTAAGGTTGTATACATTGGTAAAACAAAGTACCACTTGAAAACTAAAGTCTGTGAACATTTAGGAGTATGAAACAGAACTAGCTGTCCATTACTTAAACACTGCCACTCGTCTATTTTTTTTCCAAAATCCTATTTGAAATACAAATTTTTCTTTGACAATTTCTTACCAGTTCAGAATCTTGCTTATCTTTCATTAGTTGGGCTTTTTTTTCATCAGAACACTTTCGAATTCTGATAAATCTCTCTTGGTTCTCAGTTGTCTGCGTTTCCATGTAAATTCCTGATGAAAGTTTATTCTCTAATGACTGATAGATTAATTTTCGAAGAAAAGAATTACACGGTTCTATATCCAAACTTTCTTCATTACTGGCTAAAAACTTCTCCGTTTGTTGGCTAAAGGAAATAAAAAAGAAAAAATATTCATAAACTACTTCAGCCTTATGTATTTTTTCAAACTGTATAGGAATAAAGAAGGAAAAAACTAAATTCATAGAGTTCCAATGTATTAAATGTTAAGAGATTCACCTTACACATTTACTGTAACATAACTACAGTTAAGTATATATCTGCATGTTTATATTACACATCTACATAGACTAAAATATTAAATGAAAAACAAGATCGTATAACAACATTCACATAAAAAGGGAGAATTGTGAAATTTTTATCATCTGTTTATTATTTCAGTTTCTGTAATACGTTACATGGTACACAAAACATTAATGATGTTGTTTCTTGCATCTAAAAACGTAAAAATCTATACAATATGTATAGATTTTTATGTTTTTTCTTGAATATGTATAGAATTGCAGCAAATATTTCTACAGTTTGGTTTCCTTACAAAACTTTAAACAATTTAGTTTAACAAAACCTTTTTTCTTCAGTAAATACCTAACAGCACTCTATTTAAAGTGAAAGTAAGTGATAGTGAGACTATATTACAGAATGAAAGTTTAATACATTTTTGCTACATATATATATATGAATTATTATTTAAAATATTAGGACTTCATTTCAGTGTGCTTAATTTTGATGCATAATAACTGTAGAATATTTGACAAAAAAATCTTAAGCAAAACAGACAGGACTGAATTCTGACCTTAATGTCAGTCATATAATTGAGACATCAAAGTTAAATATACCAATTGTTCGACCAAAGTAAGATATAAAAATACATAGCAAAACTTAAAAGATATATTAGGACAAGCACAACTAAGTTGTTGTTTATAATATTTATGTATTTGAAAATAATTTTCTATTTCACAGATGAAAAAAACATAAGCTCCATAAAAGGTTCTTTTCATAAAGTATTAAGATACATAAACTAAGAACTCACATTATGTTTTGGAGGAATTCTTGATGCAACTCAGTGACGTTGATAGGTGAAAATAAAACACTTCTGCTCCCAGGAGTTTGCTGCAAGTTGGCTGGGGAGCTGGTCTGTTCATTTTTATGCTTCTCCACTAGGATATTTTTCACTTTTTCTTCTTCTTCTGGCAGTAAATAAGGTATCCCTATAAAAGAAACAGGTACCTAATATTAAGTATTTTTCAGGAACACTCGGTACATACGCTTTCTATAATCTTTTTTCCCCCTCGTATAATCAATGTTTACAATTATATGTAATGAAACAAAGTCTGAAAAATTAAAATAAAGTACTAACACAGGCAAAAAAGAATTTCTTCAATTTCGTACATGCTTTTTTTTTATATACCTTGTAAGAATATCTCATCCAATAAAATATAGTTCATTGTAAATGGAATATGACACAAGAGAGCAGGTTCAAAAACTGTTTCCCAAAAGAAGCAAGTTATTTCATTTTCATGACTTTTAGACAAGTTATTCACTTACAATGTTTTAATAGTTCAGTAATTTTAAACTTAACCCATCTTTTAACAAACAATTCATACTAACTTACTCAATAAACCCACTCACTGGGTGTACAAAACTCGACAGGTAGGTCAGCATGGACAATGTCACGAAACACTTTTAAGTTTTTATTTAGGATTTTAAATGCTCAAACTCAAGTTATACTTAAGAATATTCTATAAGTTTAGTTTAAAATAGCAATCCTTTGCTTAGCATTTTATATATTGCATGCATATTAATCAGAGATTACAGAGTTTGACTGACTAGTATACAATCACTAACTCCTACTTTTAGGCCTGATAACAATAATATGAACACAATATATAAAATATTGCCATTCCGATGAGCCCGCTTTTAACTTTTGTGTTTAGGCAAATAATTGTTTTTCAAAAAGTTGTAATCTAACATCCAAGATGAATTTAAATATAACAAAATTATGTTGAAAAAAATATGTAGAAAATCTACTTAAATCACATGAACTATTTTAATATTGGCATAATCATGTTATAAAAATATATATATACAATATTTTAGAACTTTAACCACCCTAAATGCATATCTACGTATACTACAACAGATTTACATACCATCTCTTATTAGTTTGTTGAAGTCGAACCCTTGACTTGCTAGAAAGTCTAAACTAGAAGCCTGAAAGAAACAATAACGAAAAAACATCAACATAAGGGGGTGTTGCAAAAATAAATCACACTTTTTTCTCCGAGAGCATAACAAAGTAAAATAAGATTTTAATTCAATCAAAAAAATAATTCCAAGTATCAATATCGCTTGATTGGGCCACCATTGTTCTCACGCACGAGTTTTAATCGATTTGTAAAATATTTCAGCAATGCAACAAACATGTCTGTTTTGGTGTCCGTCTCTGTGAGCACATCA